TATATATATATATCTATTATGGAACATGTCGGAATTATTCCGTTTTCTTTAGAAAACAATAGAAATCTAGGTAATAATTGAATAATTCCTATCGGAATCCATTCCAATCTTGTTCCATGATAGACCCTGTATATTTTAGCATTAGAGACTGAAAATTGCCAATTGAAGATTAAAATTGATAAGAACGAAACAGATTAAAATTAAAATTTCAAATTCTAATCTTCAATTTGCAATTTCCAATGCATAGTCTAATGTGATCTTAAAGTCTGTGTCACACTATGCATTGGAGACTGAGGATTATGAAGATTAGAGATCAAAATTCAACCAGGCAGATAATTTTAATCCATTTTGTTCTGATCGACTAGTTTCTAATCTTCACAATCATCGATCTAACTTACAATCATCGATCTTCAATGCGTAGTGCGACATGAGTTTAAAGCTCCTGTTTCCTCATCGCTGCTATCTCAGTTTGAGTGACGTTAGAAGCGAGAAAAAATTCTTGCAAAAGTTATATTTAAATAGAAATATTTTTTGATAAAGTAATATTTTTAATCAATATAAAAGATATTTTTAATGAATATAGAAAACTCTTTTTTTGTTTTGAAGAAAAAGTAAATCATATTTATTTCTGTGTATTATTAATTTGACTATTTGTGATCTGTGAACATAGCTTATTCATTTTTAATTATGCATTATTCATTTCCAGATATGTTATTTATTAATTAACAAAATAAAAGGGGAAGTTTTCGATATATTTTACAAGTTGATTCTTATGATCATAAGCGTTGTTTTATTGAAACATATTTTTATTTTAATCCAATTTTGAAAATTTTTTATTATGTATTTTCTCACTTCTGACGTCCAGTAAACAAGAATCTTAAAAAATGTGTGTAGCGAATAAGAAGTAATCGAATATTAATAAGAAGTAATCGAGATAGTCTCGACAGGTTTCAATTAAGATATCCTGACAAAAAAATTATTATATACGTATAGATTTTTTTTCGTTAAGCGAGACAAGCTGACTTAATAAAGTTGTCACACATGACAAAATTAAATGCTATCACTCAGTGATAGCAGTCCTTCCGCAAGTAATTCTAATACGTGCTAAGTTCGTACACATTGATACTCAAATAGATACTTGAGTTTCTATCTGCGAAGAAACCCACGATGTGAGCATTTCACGGTGGCCACTTTCTTCTTCCATCATATGTTTCGCGACTTCCAGATTCGCTGTGTACATATTGTACGCGCTTTTCTATTTAACAGTTTTCGATAGCTGTTTATAATGAATCGTTTGTTTGGTTGGCCCGATTTTTCGCGCTATCGTATCGTATGTAATATATCCTGCAAATATTAATTTGTCACTTTCAATAAAAACGCGCTACTGTAGAAAGTTATCGATAGCAATTTATGATTCAATACATAATGTCGATACCGTGTAATATGAAAAATAACATACTGTGAATATCAGCCGTCATATTTATAAATCAAATAAGAGAAACAATCCTATTTTTGATCAAAGTGGATGGTGATGCTTGGTGCATTTGCAAATATCTCCTTATACCTCGGCAGTCGAATTATAAGACGTGTCTGCACGAAATGAGACCCAATATCGCATATGAAAATGTACAAAAATACTATATAGTACATTGTAATTATAGATGTCCTTGATATTTTCGTATACAATATTTTTTTAGAATAAGGCTTCAGATTCGATTCCCGACTGATATTTTTTGCAATAAGTTCTTTGCAATCTTTTAAGATGTTTATTATTATCATTAAATTTTTATTATTATTTTATTATTAAATTGGCGATCAATGTAATTTGAAGCTGGATATTCCAACTTCATTTTATGACTGCGTTTCAACTCCGACAAATTGATTCAGCACGCAGTTTATGTAATTGCAAAATGTATTTGCAAATTTGCATATAAATATTGTCAAACATGCGCTTTGATCGAAAATAAGATCGAAAAGAGGATTTCATGATTTATTCTTATCGACCCTTATTCTGTAACTTTTAATAACAATGTCAATACCATTACATTGTCGTTGCGTAGCTTTTTTATCATGTATAAAATCTGCGCAACGAGAATGCATCAATAATGATACTATCGTTAAGAGTTACAGAATAAGAGATCTCTAATTTTACTTATAATTATTTATATTTTTATTTATATTATTATTATTGCACAGTTATGTTGTACTTTTTAATATATTCAGAAATAATAATTAATTAAAAAATTGCTTTGCTTTTTTTCACCTACTTTTACACCTACTTTTCTATCAATGCTGTATATAAATATTAATAAATTAATATAAAAATATGTATTTTAGATTTTAAAAAAATATTGAAACATTAAAAATTAATATTTAATTTATTTGTTGAAAAACTAATATTTTCTATTTTGAAGTCTATAAAATACCTCAAACTTTAAAATCTAAAGCATCAATCATTTTGCTTTTGGAAACAACTTTCGCTAATCAGATAAAAATTCGTGACAAACGCTAATAAACATTAATTTCATCTTCGTATTTTTAAGGCCATTCTATAACGGTACTGCTTTCGAGATTAACTCAAAAACGCAGAAACTAAATATAGTTATTTTATAGTCACTGATTCGAATAAAGAGGTTGAGTCTTCTCGCAGTCTCCGCAATTTATGTATCTGTCGGCGTCCACTTTACGGCAATTCACCGTAAAAGACTAGATTCATTACCAATCGTATAATTAATGAATCGACGTGCTTCGGTGCAAGTCTGGACCAGTGGATCAATTTCTACTTGCTCGCGAATCGTGCGAAGGCGAAACACGCGAAGCACACGTTGATGGATATGCATTTCTAACGACCCAGTTGTCATGTAGCACGGTCGCGTGTTGCGTTAATTAA